AAAGTATGGGTTGGCAAAGAGTCACGCAAGGATGTATGGAACAATAATGGCTAAGAGGGAAAGTAGCTCGGCAGATGACACTTCTTGGTTTGGTGTACTTGTGGACGGGAGCGAAGGCCAGAGAGGAAAACCAGGCAATGGTGGAGTGTATATCAAAGGTTATTGAGGAATTAGGAGGAGAGTGCGAGATAATAATAATAGAATATATGAATGCGCACATATATGGTATAGATGAGTATACTGACCCAACAGACAAAATGACCATGGCTATGTGTGAAAGGCATGATTTGATCATTTGCAACAGTACTGAGAAGGGTGAATGGCAAATAACATGGGAGGTAGGAAGGCTGCAGTCGACAATAGATTATGCAGTGATGTCACATAAGATGTATGATAGGCTCAGGGGAATGCACATAGATGAATGTGGGGCCAGACGTCTGGCTAGTGATCACAAACGTATCAAGCTAAGTTTTGGTAGAGCAGTGAAAGTGGGAAGGAGACAAGATGAGCAACTACAGAAAAATTTTTATTCAGAAAGGCAAATTGAAATAGCCACTAAATAAATTGAGAAAGTAATAGAATGGAATGAAAAAACTTTATTTCGGTCCTGCAGGACACGCTTAGCGCGTAGCGGGCGTCTCCCACGTAGGGACCGACAGGGAGTACCTGGCGGCCGCTTCGTGGGCCTGCTGGACAGCCCATTGCTGGTCGGCGAGAAGTGAGCTCCTGAGGGACCTCTCCCACTTGCTTGAGGTAGAGTCGGGAGGAGTTGTTCTACACTCCCAGAGCATGTGTTCGAGTGTCGCTGTGTGTCCACATGATGGGCATGTGTCGCTGGGGTATGCATCGGGATAATAAATTTGAAGCGTGGGAAGGTTTGGGTACGTGTGTGTCTGTAATAGGCGTAGGGTTAATGCCTGCGGTCGGTTAAGTTTCGGATGTGGGGGTGGAAAAATGCGGCGTTCCAAGTAAAAGTGCTTTGTAATTTCATTGTACGTGATTGGTGCATCCCGATTGGTATCCAACCCAGCAAGATGGGGTTGCCCTGTGGCAGCGCGGTCGGTAAGTGCGCGCGCTGCATCATGGGCAATCTCGTTGAGGTTGGATAGGGCACCACCCGGCACCTCACTGAGGATATTAAAACAGTGTGGACATACACGAATCCAATTAGACTGTTTGAGCTAGAGCTTGCTAAGGCACGTGACAAGTCACCCCAGAAAAGAAGACACAAACCCAAAAGTTGGTGGGATCAGGAAGTTAAGAGAGCCATAGCAAAACATTAGGAAGCCTCTTGGGAACACAGACATGTTTAGCAGTGGGGTGAACCGACAGTTGATGTTGAAGTAAAATGGGACATCTTTCTAAGCTGTAGAAGAGAAGCATCCCTTCTGATCAAAGAAAGGATTAGAAGAACGGGGGCTCAGTGGCTGGCAGAAGTTTTTTGAACCACCTAAATTTTGTAAAGAATGATACAAGCCTAGAATAGAGGTTTATAGCTACAGCTCAAGGGGCTATAGGCTTGGAGGGGGCGAAGCTACTAAATAGGAACAAGGGTAACAAAAAATTTTCAACAAGGAAGTGCCCTATGCACCACAATAGACAAGGGTGCATCAAGTGGCCCAATGGCTCCATTTTCATAACGAGAGTGGGAAATAGCTGAAAAGAGGGTTCCTAGTAGTACATCAACAGACTTAGATGGCATTCTAGTTATGCTGATAAAGACATTGGGTCCGAAGTCTACACAGACTTTGATAGAGGCAGTGAGCAAAACAATAATCGATAGGGAAGTACCCGATGAATGGAAACATAGCAGGATGAGCATGATTTATAAAAGAAAGGGGGACAATGGTGGCATAAACAAGTACCGTCCTATACCAGTGAGAGCAGAGGTCTACAGGCTGGTAATGCATAATATAAAGGAAAGATTGCAGGCATGGATAGAGGATTAGGGGGTACTGGGGAACTGCAGAATGGATTTCGAAAATACAGGATTTCAGAAGACAATCTGTTCTCACTGATGCAGTGCATTAAAATAGCAGAAAAAGAACACAGGCTCCTGTGGCTAGCATTTTTGGATATCAAGGGAGCGTACGATAGCATGGTTCAAGAGGACTTGTGGGGAATGCTGGAAACACTAGGTGTGGAAGATGGAGTCGCCAATCTTTTAAAGGATATCTATAAAAGTAACCAGGTAGTTATAAAGTGGGAAAAACAGGTATCCAAGCCCACAGAGGTAAAACGGGGGCTTAGGCATAGGTGTCGTTTGTCACCCTTGTTCTTCGTGATGTACCTACCAGCATTAGAGGCCAAATTAGAGGGAAGTGGACTTGGCATCAACCTCTCTTTCGTCAAACAAGGAAAGCTCATTGTACAGGCACTACCAGCATTGATGTACGCATATTATATTGCGCTAATGGCCCACAACAGGGAAAATTTGCAACAATTCATCGACATCTCTGGTAATAAGGAAGAAAGGTTAGATTTCAGATTCAGTAAGGAAAAATAAGCAGTCATGATTTTTAATGATAATGAAGGTAGTGAGCTTAGGATACAGGATGCCACGCTAGAGATAACAGATAAATAAAAATATCTGGGCGTAGGATGAGCAATGGGACCGAATATCTGAGGGAACACAAAATATACATAACGACTAAAAGTAACAGGAATGCAGCTGTGATGAAAAATAGGGTTACTGTGGAAATACAATAGGTACGATGTTGTGAGAGGAATATGGAAAGGGGTCATGGTTCCGGGTCTGACGTTCGGCAATGCGGTCTTGTGCATGAGATGAGAAGTTCAAGCAAGATTAGATATTAAGCCACGTTGAATTGGTAGGCTTGCTTTAGGAGCTCACGGGAATACATAACATCATGGAGTACAAGGTGATATGGGATGGACATCATTTGAGGGCAGGGAAGCTAGCAGCGAAAAAAATTCAGAAGCGATTTAGAGAAGTGGCGGAGGAGTGTTGGGCTAGGAAGGTTTCAGCTACTTGTACATGAAGAAAGTCGATACAAAGTGGAGGAAGCTAACCGGAAAATTGACTGGTAAATACCTAGAAAACAGCAGGGGGCCAAACGAAAAAGAAATATCAGTTAAGAAGAAGGTGAAGGAAACGGAGACTGACATGTGGAGAATTGGCATGCTTAAGAACTCCGCACTAGAGATCTATCAAACTTTTAGGCATGAAATTGCCAAGGAAAGATCTATGATAATGCTCGGGGTAGTTCTCTACTGTTTGCGTCCAGGACGGGAGTATTGCGAACCAGGACATATCGAGCCAAATGCGAAGGCGTAGGCACGATATGCAGTGCATGCGGGGAAGAGGAGGAAACTGCCGAACACTTGATAATGTTTTGTAAATGGCTTCACCCTATAGTTCAGGATGATGGCGCAAAGTTTTTCAAAGCACTCGGTTTAGAGACAGGGAGGGCAAAATAGACTTTGAGCGGGTAGAATTAACTAGAAGGAGGTTATCTGATTGCTGGCTAAAGTCAAGGCACGAGTGAAAATTAAACCATTCACTGCAAAGTACCAGTCCTATACTTCATTTGTTAAAGAGAAAAAATATCAATCTAGTTGGTGGTTCACTAAGTATTACGGCTAGGTGGTGTTAGCCGCCACCCGATCGACAGGGTACAGCTACATCAATCAATTCATCCATCGGGTGAGTGGGAAGTCTGCCTGATGCTTTGATTCAGGGGGACCCTAAATGGTTTGACGATTTTGTATAAATGCATTGAGCTGGTAATGCGAGTGTTAGGGAGTTGAGTTGAGTTGAGTTGAATAAACTTTATTTGCCCAACGGTTGTTGCTGTGCCCGGGGCTAGGCTGCCAGGGACACATCGTTCGAGGAACATCTTTTGAGGTCCTCGACGATGGCCCTGGCCCGCTGGACGGCCCACACCTGGTCCTCGAGGGCCTCGCCGTGAAGGACGGCTTGCCATCGCTCAGCAAGGCACTCCATTTCGGTGGGTCCCTCAGGTGACGTCATCCTTTCTCGTGGTCAATCTTCATCTCTTTCGCCATATCGGCCTGTTCGTGCGCGCACCACGGGCAGCTAGGCTACGGGTGCAGCGTGGGCCATAAGCGTTGCAGATGGTAGGGGTTGGTGAACGTGCCCGTCTGCAGCCTTCTCAGGTCCACCGCCTGCGACCTGTCCAGGCGCACGTGGGGCTGCGGAAATTTCTTGTGGTCTTTCCTATATTGCGTAAGCACGTCGTGGTACGTGGCAGGAAATTCTTCTCCATAGCAGTCGGCACATCTCTGTTGCCTCGCCTCTTCTGCACCAATTTCAGTTGCCGCAGCAACCGACGTGGTGGGGGTGGTAATTTCTGCATTGCCAGTGCCTGTAGCCGCCACCGTGCCTCGGCCTCACTGGCAAATGGATTTAAGCTCCCTGTGTCCACTGTGTTAAGTTATAGGACATAAGCATGTGAATCGCTGTAAGTCGCAACGACCCAGCCGAAGGAGTTTTCCACTTGTCTCGCTTTTTATGCGCAGAAATGTTCCATTGCGCATATAGCGCCCATTCATCAATCTTATTGGATGTAATGTCGCGGAACCTCCTATGGGCAGTGCGCATTGTCTGCTTGCGATACAACTCGCTCTGTGTTGACGTGAGCTGAACGACAGTGCTTAACTCGAAATTTATTTGGGACAATGCACTGCCCTATAGCTGTGTTCTGTTCTCGTTATGTAGTAATAGTTAGCTTGTAAAGATGCGACATAGTGTTATGTTTGCGAAGCATCCGGCAAGTGTAATCACTTCATCTCGGTACTTGATTGAGCATTGCGCTACCGCTGTCCGGTCAACGTTACTATCTATGTGTCCGCGTCTGTAACTTCACCCCTGAGGACACAACCACATTTCCCTATTTTTGCTTATTTGTTATCATTATCGAATTATCCATCTTTAAAGATGGATTATCCATTATCCATTACTATCATTCTGTAAAGTAGTCTGTGCAGCCAGGCTTATTGCAAACAAAGTAGCTTACCTTTAGAGACCAATCGTCGCTGCGTAGCGTGTATATGCAACCTGGATGGCCAGCGCCAAATGAAGGTGTTCATGGACGCTTTCAGAGCCATGTCTTTCTGAAAATATTCAATCAGTCAAGCGCATATGCAATCATGGAAACAGACAAGGTGGCTGGTGTCTCTAAACTCGCCCTGGTACACTTAATGTCTTAATGTCAAGGTTATAGATCAGCGGCTGCATCGGGCAGAAAACATGTGAAGCCCGCTGACAAAAAGGTTCTGCACACGCCAAACCTTGTCTGCCATTGGTGCTAGCGAACACTTTTAGGGTGTACGCGTGCTGAAATAGCCCGAAAATAGATGGTGAAGCTGTCGTAGTAGGTTAAAGTTGAAGTTCATTCAAAATATGTACATGTTTTATAAATACATGCTTTTTGCATGGCGAATGAACAATCAGATATCCCAAAGAAAGAACTGTTAGGGATATCATCCAACAAAACGTAAAAAGACGATTAGCTTTTGGTCAGCAAACAGTAACGAAATAGCAGCAATATACGAAAAAGTTGCAAAATGTTTAGTTGGCCATAAGAGCAATAGTGACAATTTGCTTGAAACAAAAAGAAAAAGAAGAAAAACAAAAAAAAAACACTCAAGTCATAAGTCATTCAACAATAACACCTTCACTAGTTCACAAGATGAGTACATTGAACATGATTTCAAATCAGCAGCCAGCATGTTCTCTAGCGTTACGCATGAAAATCTTGTCATTTGACCATAGTTGGTACGTACCTTAGGTAAAAGTAAATTACGGATAGCCGAAAACTAAACCTCGTGTTTTTGTAGTTACAAGAGTGACACCTAAAAAGCTGAAAATTCATAATTTATTTATAACGATACGAAACATGATCATTAGAGTTTTGTAGCTAAAAAGTTTATGAAAATGTAAACCGTTCTTGTTGCGAAAAAAGAGGGGGGGGGGGAGGGGCTGATGGTGAAAAAATCGTTTGAAAGTATTAAGTCTCAGAGCTTGCTTTTCTAAGCATTCATGATGACTTACATGGGACTAATATATATTTCCCTATGATGATACGCAGTACGACAGGGGACTGTGAATGAATGCGTAATATAAAGTTATGATTTCAGTGGGAAAGTAACGTCATGTTTGATAATCGCATGAATGCCAAAAGACACTCTTTTTATTATGCCCTGCACATGGTCGCTGAATTTGAAATGTTTGTCTAATACCACACGATGAAATTCTGTAGATGAAGATGCATGAATAAAGTGTCCATCATTTGTCACTGCTAATGAAGCGATGTTTGGAAACAACTGTGGGGAATGTCATTCCATGCTGTTAGTCTTTGATGGATTATTACGTTATGGGCGGTAACAGTGCACAAACTCACGGGACAAACACAATGAACACAAACAAGCGCTGACTCTCAAATAAACAATAATTGAAATACACAAATTATTTTAACACATAAGATAAGCATACAGAACATGCACACAAGGGCCAGCAAGTGACCGCCTTGACGTCAGTAACAATTTTACGCTGCGGATCACTGCGCAGGCGTGAGAAAATTCAATTCAAACACGCTACTGATTAGGATTTCTTTTTTTTTCATGTAAAGATATCGATGTTTGACTAACGCAGGACTACCCTTTTTTATATAGAATGCTTCCACAAGTTCTCTTGTCACCTGATAACTATGTTTGTAACGCACTGTCTCTTTACTGAACAAAGGAGTGCGTCCACACGTGTGGCAGTGCGAAGGCAGATTCGCGTACGTGCATGTCCCTTCTCGTCGTCCCTTGAGTTTGTGCGCTGTTACCGCCCATAGTGTATCACCAAATAGCCCAACTAGCAGGATTGATACGTAGCAGATTTGGTGCACACCACGAATGAAGGTTATTTAGGCCGACGCTTAGTGATTGTTGTAGCATGAGTGAATCCTTTTGTGCGTTAGTGTCGTCAGCATAGAGAAGAGCGTGAAGTCACTTTTAAGTAACAAAACAGAATTGATCTCTGAAGAACGCCATTATAAGTGGTTTTCGGAAATAAAAAACAATTTATTTTAACAATCTGCGTCCGATTTGTAAGATAGCTTTCAATGAGCTAGGAGGGGTCCAGATTTGCCGTAACAGTCAAGCTTATGAAATAGGATGGTGTGGTCAATTGTATCAAAGGCCTTAGTTAAATCAATGAACATAGCTTGAAAAAGAAGGCCTGCATCTATCATCAGTTTAACCCTGTCAGTGAAAGTTACAAGTGCAACTTCAGTTGAAAAACCAGCACGGAAGCCAAATTGATGATCAGATATGTTTAATTTGAATAAGTATTTTTATTAAACGGTTTAGATCAGTTTTTGAATGACTTTACTAAAGAAATGTAAATTGCGACTCGGGCGATAGCTGTTACAGCATTGCCGATCACCTTTCCTAAAAATGGGGATAATTTTACTTGCTTTAAGGCCTTGAAGAGCTTTTCTCAGCTGCCTTGAGGCAGCTGAGAAAAAAAAGTTGAATGCAGTTTCGGCATTACTTTCGTCATATAATTCGTTCCGACTGGTCTTCCGAATAATTTCTACATTTTTTTTAATAAAAAGCAGTGGAAACGTTATTTTTACTACGGTGCATATCTTAAGAACCGAAACACCAAAATATTGCATAATCATTCATGATAGCATAATCCAACACTCTCCCTCTACTATCGTCAGTAGACAGACTGACCAAAATGTGATCGATCAGTGCATTGGAATCGTACCTAGTTGGAATACGTATTACGGACGAAAAGCCGCACTTAAGAAAACAACGTACGTAATCACAGCAGGATGGCCTCTGTTGATCAGCAATATTATTGTTTATGTCACCACATGAAATTACGTCAGTAGAGAAGCTGGGAACGTGTTATACTTACGTTCAGATCTGAACTGTGGAAACATAGATTGCTCGTTCGCTTCAAAGGCAACAATACACGGTCACCTAACAAATTGCGTTTTACAGCGAAAAATAGAGGTACATTGTAGGCTTGCCGTTAGGCTACTTCACGCAAAATTCAGGACCTTTAGGAGCATGTCGCTTTGGTAACTTAGATGCCGGCAATAGCACTAAAGTGTGTTACCAAGATTAAAGTAGCGTACGCAACACAGTCACACACAATTAGACTTGCACAAACTTTAGAGGTGTAAATTGAAGCGACACGTTTTCACCTCACGCTGCATGCGCCAGAGACCATACTTAATGAAACTAACGGAGTTCCCATCACCGAGCGAAGCGGTTGGCGCTCTTATATTTCTATCATACCTTGTCTCATTCACTCTTGTATAATACAACTTAATTTAAAAGGAAAACCACCAATATTCGGGAGGTCACTTGCGAACTTCGACAAGGGAGTTCTACTCGGTTTTTAGACCTCAGGTTATTTTTCTCAGAAAACCACACGTGCTGGTGGTATGAGCTACGAAAGAATAAGCCTCTTCTTTTGTTCGCTTCCACACATTCAAAACCAATTAGAAAGGGCATCGCAAACTTGTGTTTTAAAAATGTCATGACCAAATTGTGCCACCACAAAATGGCGTCCAGTTTCGAGACCCAAAGCAGCGTCTAACCGAAGCAGGCTACCCAATGCTGTTACAGGTTTCTGTAGCCGAACGCATTCTCCAAAAGTCTTGAAAAGAAAACAGGCGTGAAGTTTCGGAGCACTCGGGCTGCAGAATAGGTGTAATCCCTTGCATACGCACAATTTCTCACAACTTAACTTAAAGAAAGTGGCCCGAAGGGCTAATGTGCCTGTTGTTTTTGCAGGGCACAAGCAACTAGGGGAGCTTTGCAAGCTCACCTGTCCAAGATATATTGCTCTCCCAGCTTGAGATAGAAAACACCACGTTAGATTCGTTGTTTGTGTATCCTGTGTCATCTACAAGTTTCCATTATCCTGCGGGATGTACTATATTGGGCAAACAAAACAGTGTCTGAATGACAGATTACGCGAGCACTGCTATAACGCGAGAAATAAGCTTACGGCGAGAGGAACCCTGGAGGCACCCTCCAAAAGCTGTGGGTGCTCCCCTGATCTGTGTAGTTGCATAGTTATCGGTCATTTTAGAGATCGGCTCACACGGGAGATAAAAGAAGCCGAGGCTATAGAAGAATTAGGCCATTTGTGTGTAAGCTCGTCATCACTTTCCTTGTCGGAAAAGGAAATGACGTCCCTTGGTTTAAGAACACGTGCAAGATGTGTTGTTCTTTGCCACGGATGTACAAAATGGGTGTTAATGGCAAGAAATAAAAAGTTGGAAGTTTAGCGCCTACCTGTCTCTACGTCTGTGTCATGTCCCTTTCTCTTATGTACTGCGCTGAGTGGCTTTGAAAGAGGAAAAGAAAGAGAAAAGCGCTGTCCCGTTACTGCCTCTCTGAATGAGGGCACCTCCACAGGAAAGCGCAGGGAAGGGGGAATGGGAATGAAAGAGTCAGAAGAGAAGAGGTAAGAATAGAGTGGTGAAATGCATTCGATCAGTGGTCTCGCGCACGCGTGCGCGAAAACAAACGCGAAAGCGCGACGTAAAGAAAGGCCCGCGGAGAAGCCGGGGGGGGAGGGGAGGAGATGCGCCCGTAAAGGAAAAGAGGAAAGGAAAAAAATAAAAAAAATAAATAAAAGAAACCACCAGACAAGTGGAAAGAAGGTAGGGCACTCCGGATCTGATAGTGAAGTGGAGATAGTGTTTGCTGCAAAGGCCCAATGCGCCCACATAGAGTAGGAAGGGAAAAAAATTAAGAAAAGGAAAAAAAAACAAGAAGAGTAGCATAAAAATAATAATAATAATAAAAAAAAAGAGCGTCAGGCAGCTCTGAGCAGCCCATGTAAACAAGTACACGTGGAACTCGGAGCAAGGAAAAAAAAAGGACGTGGTGCGCAGCGCGATGTAGCAGTAAGGGAAGGGAAAAAAAAAGAGAGAGCGGAGTAAGCCTACGCGCAAATAAAGTATGCCAGACGCAACCGTCTGGGACTTACCACCAAGAACGCCAGCGGCACAGTGATGTGCACGATTTATAACGGACCCGAGGCGGCGCCGGATTCTTGATAACCGGGTGTGTCCTCCAGGTTAATTCCAAAC